TACAGTCCTAAAATGTCATAAATCAATTACAGAGTCGTATTAGCGTTTTAAAACATTACTTAAGACGGTTTTGAAATAAAAATTGACTGAATACTGGCTATGTCATTTCTCCCATCTGTTAATTGTAAGTGATAAAATTTAGTTAATGCATGTTACGAAGTATGCGATTATAACTGGGACAAAGTAACGAAAATAGATTCAAGAATCTATTATATATTATAATTAACAGGAATTTATACATATTATAATATATTAATAGTAATAGCCTTTATACATATATTATCGGAAATGATGCTTGTGCCATAAATGATTATGTTATTAAATACCAATTTGTAATGAATTAAAATGACATTATTCCGAGAAAAAGAAAAACATATCCATTACACATAATTTACAAAGATATTTAAATACTAAACAATTATTAAACATACGAAAGAACTAATCAGGTATTACGAGAAAAAAACAATAATAAGATACAAGCATAATTATGATTCTATATGTATAGCTTTTTAAAAAGTAGCACAAGTAAACCAATAGCTCGATGAAAATTGTTAAATAATTAAGAAACAAATTATAAATATTATATTGGTAGAAATTATAGGTATATAGGTATACAGGCAACTGCAAAAAGAAATTTGTAATATATCAGAAAAATGCCTCGACAAAGGATTGGAAAGGCCCCGGGCAAGGTTAAAGGAAAGCAACAAAACTGCAGACGTTACCTTCATTATCATAAGAACCTTCTCCGTGACTTCTTTTTACAGCGCTTACAACCGACCTCGATATATGTACGTAAAATTCGATGGCAGGCGTCTCTCGCAATGTCTTTTATTTTTGTTTAAACAAATCTAATATATTACAAGAATCTTACATGCCACTTACAAAGTTTTAATTTATAATATTAAATACAGTAAAAAATATCACACGATTAGAAGATAATATCATTGTTTACGATTGCTCTTACGTAAGTCTCCTCTTTATGCGTGTATACATACCTACAGATTAGCATTACAAATATATTAGATATCACATTGTTAGATCAAATACTATACTAGTAAGGTAAACCAGGTCCCAGTGCATAATAAATTTTATGTAAGTGTCCGGACACTTACATAAAATTTGTAATTATTAATTTCAAATGCTTTTTTTTATTACAGTATTATAATTTAATTACATTTAAAGATTACAATTATATTATAATATTACGTTTTAAAAAGCGTATTTGAAACAAATATTAACTTAAACAAATAAAGTGTTATGTAAATGGACATAGGTACATGTTCAGTCATTGGGATCAGACAGTACCTATATCCGAACAGTTACACAAACTTTATTTATTTAAATTAATATTAATTTCAAATGCTTTTTTTAGTTTAAAGATAAATTTGAATTAGTTTTTGTCATTAAACATTTATTTATATTATTATTTTCCGTCAGTATATTAATTTTCCAATTGTGGTCGGACACTGGAACAATTACGTCTCGGTGTCCGATCGGCTTGTCCAACCACTGGTACATTGACGCATTCTATTATTTATTTATATATTTTAATTAATAATTGTTATAAGTGGGTTCAAATAATTTTTCTTTACTTAAGGGAGTCTTGAGTTTTCAAGTGAATACAAAATTATATTAAAAACCTTTTTGATATTATAAATTGTATTATTTATGAGAATCTAACGCTTAAACGTCCGGCTACTTGGACATTTACCTTATACCAAATTAATAAATCAGGTATTAATTACGATTCTTTTACTGAACCAATTTTACACATATATAATGTACATGTACATACATATCCTGGAATAAATTTCATACGTTTTTTGTTTAGCAGTTATTGGGCAATTATAATAGTCTTCGTTTAATAATTAATAATTAATAAAAAAAGTATATAATATCGTACGTAGGATCTCAATCAAGATAACACTTTGCCTGCAATTACTAAGCACAAAATCTGAATCTATTTACTGAACAAAAACAGGATGAACACGATATTTGAAATTATGCCTACTAATCAGTGCTTCTAATTAAAAAAACTGAGTCCAAAACTCTTCTACCATTTTGCAATTTTCGCAATATTTTTCTTTAGTCACTCAATGAGCAAAATGTCTAAAATCAACGTATAAAACAACTTTAAGATATCTTTAAGAGTTCTTTAAGAAACATCTTCAAGATATTTCACAAAGAACACTGAAAAATATTTTTAAATTGTCTTTTACAATTTCGATTTTATCCGTTTATTCGGCAATCTTTCGAAATTAATATCTCGTTAACTATTGTGAAAATTGCAAAATGATAGAGGACTTTTCGACAGTTTTTTTATTAGGAATAGCATTGTATGATTAGTAGGCGTTATTTCAGATACATCCTGTATATGTACATTTAATTCCCTTCATTTTTGCTCCAGATCATTTTGACATATCTCTCACCTGTGTTGAACTATAATGGAAAATGTAAAAACGTTTTTTCTGGTCCGTTTCGTAACTATTGGTTCCAAATCGGACCATTCCCTGGTTCAAATCGAACACTCCTATTTTTATGGACTTTTAGGTAGAATTTTAAAATATTTTAATGTATTTTTGTTAGTATTGAGTAAAAACGAGCGATTTGACAATCAAAGATAAAAATTTTATTAAAAAAAAAGAATTACTAACAGTTTATATTATTAGAATTGAAATCAATAAAACTCAATTAATCTGAGTCTGATGATTCATGATATTTTACTGATTTAATTCCTTAGATCAGATCTGGTCGGCCGATCATCAGTACTATAACCAGGACTATAAGTTATCTACTGTACTGTCCGATTTAGACACGGGTCCTTTCGAACTTTGGAACAAATTTTACAATAAACCGCAAAAGTGATCACGAAATGCTTGATATTTTTTAATTCTACACTCTTTAATTATCTCAAATCAATTACTTTTCAAATTTTTAACACCTTTTAAATAATGATTTACAAGGATTTTCTTTTTTAAAAAAATTTTCGCACGATGGCTGAAAATACATATTTGCCTCTATTTTATGAATGTTATGACAGAGAACTGTCAAACTGCTATCACATGTTCAGTGTCTTATAAAGACTTTACGTTATAAATAGTACGCAAATCTGCTTAACCGTATTCATTTAAATTAAAAAGGTCCTATTTAGAACACGATCCGATTTAGACCACTCTCCCCTATAGTATATTTTACATAATTATATTATAGTAGTTTAAATTTATGACATAATTGTATACATGGAAGAAAATACTAGAGAAACTTATTTCAATTTATTCTAATATTTTATCACTTAATGCTAATTTATTTAAAACATGCTAAAGTTCTTCTGGTTATTTATATATAAGTTGTCTTAGAATTGTAATTACCAATATTCATAAATCAGAATAAATTTCTGTAATAAAAAATAATGTCGCCAATACAATACAGATTTTTTTTCCAGTCGTTATCATAAATCGTTTTTTTCCATCATTCTCATTAGCTATATATTTGTGTTGTAAGATAACGTATGTACGTTTCAGAAGCAAAGCTATAACGCAGGAGGAACGGGTTCGTAGGGAGTGGCGCATTGCAATTTTGAAACAAATTTTGAAAGTAACCAAACGAGCATGAATTTCGCGAAAAATCTCAGGTGATAGTCAACTACTAATAAAATCTTTGACTAAGAAAAAATGAGAAAGAGAAGGGGTAAATTGTAAGTGTGCGAGAATATGTATATACATGTATATTCTTTTTTTATGCGTAATCGATCCTTATTACGGCAGGCTTCACAATAATAAAATACAAATATTCTCATCAATTATTGGAATTCGAAGAATTTTTAAATCATCGAATGAAAATAATAATTATATAAGTGTATATACTTTGTCACTTTTCTAGGATTGTGAATGGAGGATTAGAAATGTGAATTTCCATGTATTTTATCGAGTATTAATCCAATGCGTTTTGTTTGACGTTCAAAATATTTACGTTGAATCGTTTTATGGATTTATTATATTCCACTTTTATATTTTTATTGTATTTTTTTCTGATGTTATTACACACTATACATTAAATTTTTTTTAACGCCATTACACAGTAGTACATCAAGTTACACAATGATAGTAAAAGATACTTGCTCTTTTTACGGTCAGCCAATGATCCTCATAAGTTCGTGTCGTAATACGACTATTACAAATATGTTTGCACAAAAGATGATGTAATTATTAATTAATAAAATACTTTAAAAGACTAGATTAATTTAAAAACTTACACATAATTCTAATCTTTTTTCTTTTCTGAAATGTATTCTATTTACATACATTCAGTGACATATAATATAATTATTTTTCAAATCGACGAATTACGTATTATTTACGAGGTAGAAGTAGAATACAGATAAGTTATGCAGATCTTTCTTCTTCTAATAGTAGGCCTCCAAATACTTATAGCGAATTCGATTGGACCCGCTCAGTACGCACTGGTGCACATTAAAGTCGTATACAAAATAACGTAAAGATATGTTTGTACATAAACATAGAAATCGATTAAATCCTGAAATACTCAATACATTTTATTGTGGTATCAGGTAAAATAAGTATTTTATAATAGTTTTTGAAATTATTTGAAATATTTGCATTTCACTTTTATACTCAAATTAAGTCAGTGTACAACGGCTTTAATATGCACCAGTGTGCAATTGAATTCGCCATTAATAACAATACGAAGAAAGGAAGGTACCGGTCCGATAAAAACACTTCGTTCGTTAATGCGTGCGCTACTGCTGCTGCTGTCACCACTGCTCCGGAGGACATACATATACATCGTTTGCAGAAGGGGGAAAGAATCACGGTACACACATCGTACATCCGTCGTGCAGTAGATACGAACTGCTACTCGAACACACGGTGTTCGAACGGTGTCTCGTTAACTTGCTTCGGATATTAATTTACTCTATCGTCTCACTGGTTTTTCCTACAATCTCCTTTTTTCATTTGTTTTTTATTTGTTTTCTTATGTATCTTATGAATCAATTATACATGATCTCGCTTACCATTACGATCTGGTGAACGGTTGTGTCAACAACGAGAATCGCAGGAGATCTGATGCGTAGACGATAGATACCGAAAATAAATAGCTAATTGTAACGAATATTCTGTTAGTAACAAAGATTGACGAATCGAATCGGCGCAAATTATTTGGATCAAAGATCTTTCGGAATCGTGAAGTGGGAATCAAGAATAGCTATACATCGACTATCCTATCTGGAGCCTATCTGTGACAAAAAGCGGCTGGTCAAAATTTAGTGGCTGATTGTATTTTTATGTGAGTATTAATAATGTAATTCAATATCAATAAATTATATTTCAAATGACAGTTGGAGAACGTTTACAGCTGACATTTTTGTTTATTCCTGTTACTTTGAGTTTAATTGAGAAACGTTTTGCAAAAATTAATTAAAATAAAGTAGAATTTAAAACAATAAACATTCTAGGACAGCAACATTACATTATTTTATGTTTAATTCGCGATTATTAATTTTGATGAGGTAAAAAATAACTCATTTTTTGATAACGTCATTCAATTTTTCATGTTTTTAACTATATTACATATTGTTATTAGGTTAGGGAAAAAGTTCCTTTACAAATTGATAAAAATACCTTTCCCCCCATCAATATCTTCGTTAAAAATGATCAAAATTTAAATTTAAATAACAGATTTTAAACCTTGAAAACTCTACTTTCGAATGGTTACTATATTCTTTGAATTTATGTGAGTTTTGTAATTTTTACATATAGAAAACTACGAGCACAAAAAAATGAAAAATTTTCTTTTCACTTTGTAGGTCTGTAGCGTGCTCAAAAAAATTTGAGCAAATTTTCGATA